CGAAGACAAAAACATTTACAGATGTGTGGCCGGGCATGGTGGCTTACGCCTGTAATCCCAGCACTTTGGGAGGCTGAGGCGGGCGGATCACAAGGTCAGGAGATCGAGACCATCCTGGCCAACATGGTGAAACCCCATCTCTACTAAAAATACAAAAAAAAAAAAAAAAAACAGCTGGGCATGGTGGCGCATGCTTGTAGTCCCAGCTGCTCAGGAGGCCGAGGCCAGCGAACTGCTAGAACCCAGGAGGCGGAGATTGCAGCAAGCCGAGATCGCATCACTGCACTACAGCCTGGATGACAGTGTGAGACTCCATCTCAAATAAATAAATAAAAACATTTACAGATACGTGATGTTCAGAAAGTTTTCTTCCACATTATCTTTCTTAGGAAGTTACAAGAGGGTAATCTAAGAAAGAGACATAGGAAACTGAAAACTGGGTTCAACCAGAAAACCACTGAAGAGCTATGCCAAGGTGATAGCTGTGCAGCGGGCCTACAGAAACACTAGTTGGGATGGGAGGGTGAGAGAGGTCTCCAGGATAGAAAAGAGCTCTCAGAAGAATAAAAAATACTGCTAAGGGCTAAGAAAATAATAAGAATAATGGTCAAATTACTTCTCCCTTTCTACAAGAATAGTGGAAGGCTGTTAAAAACAGGAAAAAATAGAAAAGTGCATGAGAAATCCATGATCCGAATAGGAATCAAAGTAAAATTTATCATGAATGTAAACATTTAATGAAGTGGGGCGGGGGGGGTTGTTTTGTTTTGTTTTTTAAAGTCCCCTTGGACTGGCCTGGGAGTCATGGACTCATATAAAAGGAAATTTAATATATTACCTAGCCTTCATATGAACCATATATTGTCACGATGATATGAATGCTGTTGTATATAGGCTTTCAACTTTAGAATCAGGCTATAGAGACAGCATGAATGATTTGGTTGTGATTGCAGGAGAAAATGTTAATTTTCTTAAAATTAATAGCCTTAATATTAATAAAATTACAGCTAGAAGTGCAGGAGAAAATGTTAATTTTCTTAAAATTAATAACCTTAATATTAATAAAATTATATACAGCTACATATTAGCCTCCTTTTTCAAGGGGAAGAGTTAGGATTCTGTCCAACAGAGAAAAGACAAGAAGTTTATGTAAAGGTAATATAATTGCCAAAGAATGGAGAGGAAGATGATGAAATGAAGGGGCATAATATAAGTAAGGCCCTCACTTTTCTTATTTTAAGTCAGTAGACATTGTCTTAAGGTTGATAAACTAAGAAATTATCAAAGTAGATGCAGAACTAATTTTTTTTTCAAGTCCAGGCATGAGGGTGAGAAGAGACTTGCTTTTCACCATAAGCTATTCTGCCACTGTTTATTACCAGTGTGCATGTATTACTTTGATTTTAAAAACAAAAAATTTAGGGAATAAGAAATAACCTAGGTTGACAACAGGCTATGTGTAAGAGAATGTTGGGAGATAATATCACAAAAGTTGGTTGAGGCCATATAATAGAGGACCTCGAATGCCAAGGTGAAGTAGTACATTTAATTTGAGAAAGCTTGGAGTTTTTGAACAGCCTGGTCAAATGACTGGAGCTGTATAATTTCAGAAAATGAATTTTTCAGAAAGATGAATTGGACCCAGGTGGAAAGGGATATTATGAGTAACCAATCTAGTTTCAGTTTTCTAGATGAAAGATAATGAAGGTTTGTACCCTGATGATACCACCGGAAATAGAAAAAGAAAGAATGAAAAGTGTTCTCAATACTATACTTGATACATAGTAAGTGTTTCGGCATGTGGTCGTTATACGGAAGGGACCAAAGGGAGACACTACTTTTTTTTTTTCTTTTGAGACAGGATCTTGCTTTGTTGCCCAGGCTGGAGTGCAGTGGCATGATCATGGCTCACTGTAGCCTCGACCTCCTGGGCTCAAGCAGTCCTTATGTCTCAGCTTCCTGAGTAGCTGGGACTACAGGCTCACACCAACAGCACACGTAGCTAATTTTTTAAAAATTTTGGTAGAGAGAAAGTCTCACTATATTGCCCAACCTAGACTCTACTTTTTTTGTTGTTCTTTTGAGACAGTGTCTCGCTCTCGTTGCCCAGGCTGGAGTGCAGTGGCATAATCTCTGCTCACTGCAACCTCTGCCTCCCAGGTTTAAGTGATTCTCCTGCCTCAGCCTCCCAAGTAGCTGGGATTATAGGCATTCGCCACCATGCCTGGCTAATTTTTGAATTTTTACTAGAGGCGGGGTTTCACCATGTTGACCAGGCTGGTCTTGAACTTCTGACCTTAGGTGATCTACCTGCCGCGGCCTCCCAAAAAGCTGGGGTTACAGGCGTGAGCCACCATGCCTGGCCAGACTGCAGTTTTTAGTAACTTATTTGACATGAGATGAAAGGAAGGGTAGTCATCAAAGATGAGAGTAGTAATTGCTATGTATTTTGAAATTCTTGGCCTGATTGTAGCTCACACTATTTTAGGGTAAGGGTTGATCCTGTATGCCTGCTACAAAATGGAATGTGTTTATAATTCAGTGATTGTTCTTCCCTGCTTGTGTTGCATCTTTATTTGTGACAAACAATTTTTGTACATATTTGCTATGAAATGTAAGGTGGAAAAATACCGTAACCTGATAAATCACATTCCACTTACCTAAAAAAGAAAAATGGTAAAAAATATTTAACATTACAAAGTAAAGTTCTTCATGACCTCATGATTTAAAGGCATAAATGGCTGCTAGATTCCAGTTAGGCTGTTGAACAGATAGTTGTTTTTTGTTTTTTGTTTTTTAAATACAAGGCTAACTGACACATACTGGAATCCAGCCCATGAAGTTGGCCCCATGAGTTCAAGTCTGTAATCCATTAGTCTTCAAAGTGTGATGTGACAGCACTTTGGGGTATAGAAAAGAAGATAACTTTTTTACGTGTATATAATTTTAAGGATACAAGTATTGTGTATGTAGTTGTTTTTTTGTTTTTTCTGCTAAGGATGTGCTACCAAAAAGTTCAAAGAACACTGCTGTAATCAGCTGAGCTAACAGACCAGTTACAAAGACCAGGGTCATAAGTCTATAGGTTTCCTGTCATTGATCTCAGTGTGGTGTAATGGTAAGGGCCTTGTTTTTAAAGTCAGGAGACCTAGAATTGAGCCCTAAGTTTACCACTTACTGGCTTGTGATCTTTTCTGCCTTCAATTAATCTCTTTAAAGTTCAGGCTGTAGAATATTCAAACCAGTTTGTTTTTAGAGGATCTGTCACATTGCTACTGGTAAATGGGGGAAGTACATAGAAAACTCTGAAATGTTTATGCTTGTTCTAAGGTTTACTTGTTTATGTTACATCAGTTCTCTCTAACATTAATATGTGAACAAAGATTTGTCATGAAGCATGAATATAAAACATAAAAAAACACCTAACACAGAGTTGATATGTGGTAGGTGCTCAGTATTTGCTGAATTTCTAGTCTTATTTGGAGAAAAGGGTGTCTGAAACCCTTGTACCTTGGTCTTATTTGGAGGAAAGAGGTAGCATCTTAAGAGTCAGCTAATGCTTGGTTCTATGCTAATACCTACTGCACAGGATTGTTGTGAGAATTAAAGGACATAATGCACAGGAAATTATGAAATAAAGATCTAAACTGATGTTAGGAAATGATTTGATTATTGTTGCCGAAGTTCTAGGAGAGTCCAATATGATTGAACTGCCTAAGTAGTAAATAACCTACAAATTACAGCCTCTGTCTGAGAAATAAAGTAGTGGGCCAGAATTCCTTTTTCTCCTCTTCTGGGAGCTTTTTTCCTTTTACTACTCATTTTCAAAAGCTACCATGTTAGGATATTATGGTATGTCCTTTTGAGAAATCTTTGTAATTCTTTTTATTGCCAACATTCTAAGGACATCTCAGAAAATGTTAATTGAGCACAAAAGTTTGTATGGAATACAATAATAACAAAAACAATGGATTATTTATGTTCACATAACACATTGAGATTCTACTAATGGTACCTAACGCACCTAGAAAAAAAATTATAGTCAACAAAATAGAAATGATAGTCTTTATTTGACAGGTTTATGTTTCTGATTTGGTCAGATTTTGTTTTGTTGTAATTTTTGACTATTAACAAACAGTTTGTGTCTTGATTAAATAAGGTAACCTAGTCTGCTGATCTCACATAAGCAATTGAAATCCTGTGTGGGTATTTCATATATTTTCTCTTTGTTATGATACTTTTTCTCAAATATATAAAAATGTCCACTGTCTTTTAAAATCCTTCTCTTAACCTAGATACCTCTCACTGTTCCATCATGCTGAATAGTCGTTTTTTTCCATGTCTGATTCTCCATCCAAATGTTAAATCTTTTCTGATTTTGTGTTTTTGAGTTACTCCTTTCTCCCCTCTGAGATCCTAGATTATTCCAGAAACAGAAAGTAACTTAGACATTTCAAAGGGATAAAACTTCAGTGTACTTAAACAGCTACATTGAGGTTAGAAATCTCCATGTTTACCCTGGAATATTTTTCAACCCCTCTCCTCAATAAATAGTTGATTTATTTTTTAATAGCATTAGTTCTGAGTAATATAACCATACACCAGAGCACAGCAGATTACTCCGATCTGTTACTTTCAGACTTCTTTACACCCTCTGCCCCAACCCAATAAAACTATTCTAATTATCTCCAGTAGAGAGAACGAAGACTGGAAAATTCTTAGTACTAAATGTCATGTAGAGGTTAAATTGGCCTATGTGATAGGCTGGTATAATACTGTCTCTGACATTTACCCTGAAAGTATATATTTGTGGCATATACACTTGATACGTTGGTAAAGGGTGGCTTTTAGTATGTTAATTTCAGGATTTCTAATATACTTAGAAATTAGATTGATTTCTAATTAATTTCTAGTATGATTAAATTTGTATTGTTTGATTTTTAGCAGGAGAAAATAGCTCTGGCTAACTCTGTTTGCTCCCCTTATATTTACCTCAACAGGAAGAAGTCAGTATCAAAGAAATTGCAATCACACATCATGTAAAGGAAGGACATGAAAAGGCAGATCCTTCCCAGTTTGAACTTTTAAAAGTATTAGGGCAGGGATCATTTGGAAAGGTAAGTCATAAGTGTGTGCTTTTTTAAAAGTTGTTTTTTGGAATTCATATGTATTTCACACACATGGGGAAACAGAAGTATTTTATGAATTAATACCAGTCTTCCTACTAGCAGTGTTTTCTGTGTTTTTACATTTCTCACTATCAATAAGTGTGGGAAAGTGAATAAAGTCATTCAAAAGTACATTGGAAACTAGTAAATTGGTAGTATTTGCTTCATACTTTATCTTCAAGACCACATGACCTCTCCAATTGTGATTCTTGAATGGTTTAAAATCACAAGATATTCCCTTGATACACTGGCCTCTTTTTGAGTCCTTGGGTAGGGATGGAAGGTGATCTTGCAATACGATATAACAGTGCATCTCAGCCTCCCTTCCAGCATACTCTATTACCAGCATAAAGTGAATAATTGCTCCCAAAGAAGTACGGTTGGGGGTTACTGCTACAAGTTTGAAATTTTCTTGACTACTGGCTTGTCTTTAAAATGAATGCAAAGTTTGCATTTTATTCAGTATCATCGTGTTTGTTTTTAATATCAAAAAATGTTTCCCAAAGCTACCAAGTAAAATTCCTCTAGAAGACAGAGTCTGCCTCTGTCACCCAGGCCAGAGTTACAGAGGCATGATCTCAGTTCACTGCAACCTCTGCCTCCCAGGTTCAAGTGATTCTCCAGCCTCAGCCTCCCGAGTAGCTAGGACCACAGGCACATGCCATCACGCCCAGCTAATTTGTGTGTTTTTTGTAGAGATGGGGTTTCGCCATGTTGCCTAGGCTGGTCTCAAACTCCCGCACTCAAAGCTCTCCACTTGCTTCAGCCTCCCAAAGTGCTGGGATTACAGGTGTGAGCAACCACGGCGGGCCAAAGATGCAACATCTTTATCAGTGTTTTTCATGTAGTGCTTGCCTCCCACCCCGTACATACATACTTCACACCTCAGGGGCACTTCTGTACTCCATTTTGAGAAGTACAGCATTATAATTACTACTACTTGATCTGTCTGGACCAGGAGTCCCCAATACCTGGGTGAGCATTGCTGCCTGAGCTCCACCTTCTGTCAGATCAGTGGCAGTATTTGATTCTCATAGGAGCACGAACCCTATTGTGAAGTGCACATGCGAGGGATCTAGGTTGTGCACTCCTTATGAAAATCTAATGCCTGATGATCTGAGGTGGAACAGTTTCATCCCAACATCATCTCCCCCTTCCACTGTGCCAGTCTGTGGAAAAGTTGTCTTCTATGATACTGGTCCCTGGTGCCAAAAAAGTTGGGGATCACTGGTCTAGATTGTTTCTTGGCAAGAGGAAAATTTGGAAATTGTATTTAACTTTCATGATGCAGTGATTCCTTACCACCTCTCTGTAAGGAAACATTTGAAGATACCATGCTTTGCAAGTTTCAGAGCAGCACCAGTTTAACTCTCTTGTGTATTTTACTGGGACTATTTAGCAATTCTTGGCTAACATAGGTAATTTGTTACAGTTGTTAACCTCTTTTGAACCCAAAACGATGCTTTTAATCCAGATGTAGAATAAGTAGCCAGCAGAGCATAATGGTTGTAAGTTTGGACTCTAGGTCAGCCAGACTTCAATTTTTTTTCTTCTATTTATTCACTGTGTGTGCTTGAACAAGTGTGTGTACTTAACCTCTTGGGTCCCCATTTCCTTCCTCTAGCTGGTCATTAAATATTGAAGTTCAAGGTTCCATTCTAGGATACCTTCTTCTCTATTACTAATACTCTACTGATTGATTTTCTCTGTGCCTGCTCTCTTAATTGTCACTCACATACAGCTGACGTAACAGATTTCTGTCTCCAATCTAGATTGCTCCTCCAAGCTCTGAATTCTTATGCACAGCTGCTTATTCTTTTTCTGTGTCACAAAAGCACTTTAAAGTCAACATGTCTGAGACCAAACTCATCTTTCCCTAAGCCTCAAACTGTTCTATTTCATTTTTCTCTCATTAAGCAATTCAGAAATTTGGGAAGCATTCTTGATGTATATTTCTAGTCCCTACCTCCCCTATCCAACTCTAACCTGGCCCCAGTCTTATCTATCACCAAGTGCTGTAGATTCAGTAAAGATGTCTCAAAGCCTGCCTGCCACCCCTCCAGAATATGCTACCACCTTTCTTCGTGGTCTTTCAAAGGGGTCTCCTAACTGGGTCTTTCCAAATGTATTCTTGCCTTGATCCATTATTTACTGATAGCCAACATGAATTAATCTTTTACTCTATCCCCCATAATCCTTCAGTGGCCTCCCTTTGCTTTTGCAATAACAACGAATTCTTAAGATGACTGAGGAGCCCCTCAGTCTGGCCTCTAGCTACCTCTCCAGGATCAGTTTACATACTTTTCACTCTCTGTGTTCTGGTCACATTGGCTGCCTTTTTTAATCCTTAATCAGGACCCAAGTCCTTAAGCTCCGTCCCACCAGAAAGCCTTTCCATATTCGATTCCTTCTGCCTGAAACACTCTGCTCTACCCCTACCTCTTCCTTAGCTTGTTAGCTCCTCCTGCACCGGTGATCTCAAGGAAGCTTCCCTGCCATCCTGCCTAGGTCATGTTCCCTGGTTATACCCTCTCAAAACATTATATACCTCATCTTCATGGCACTTGCCATAATTGCAGTTTTTCATTTGTTTAGTTATTTGTTTAGTGGCTGTCTCCCCTACTAAATAAACTAAATGTTCCATGAGTGAAGGGTCATGCTTTGTATCAGTCTCAGCATTGAACCAGTAGCACAATGCCTGGCATATAATTCTGGAAAGAATTAATGAGTGTGTAATAGTTTTGACCCCATAGGATAGTAATGATAATTAAATGATAAAAGGTCAAGCACATAATATCTGGTATTAAATTGAATTATCACACCACTCAGTAAATTCAAATAGATGGATAATTTTTATACATTAGATTTTCAGGGAACGCAATATTTAAGTTATTTGAATTAGCATGCTTCTCCTTTTATATCTTTAAAAGTATCTTAAATATCATACTATAAATACCAAACATTCAAAATAGGATGTCTCCTTTCTTACTCATTCTGAAAGGCCAGAGTAAGCCAAGGAAACAGGAATGACCTGTCAGAGACTAGAATAGCTTCGTGGGGGAGTGAGAAAAGGTCAGAAATGCTCTGGTGGAGGAAGTGATGGCAGCTGGGATCGCTATTGCTCCTGCTGGGCTTGCCTGGTTACTGGGAAGGGAACAGATAAAGAGCACCCTGAGCAGAAGCAGAATACTGGGTGACTAACATGAACTTTGTCCCAATACCTCCACTCTGACACTGAGCAAATTACTTAACCCCATAAGCCCTAGTTTGGGCAGCTATAAAATAGGCATTGCTTAGTAGGTCTGCTTCCTGAAATTGACATGATGATTTATTACAAATGGTTATGAAAGTGCTTTGCAAACTAAGAATTGCTGAAGTATTAAGAAGATGCATTCAAAGAACATTTGAAAGTTTGGAATTCACCAGGAGAATTTTTCTTACAGAATGGAACAAAAAACTTGGTTAGGGAATCTTAAGGATGATTACATATCAAATAAATTCTAATTATCTCCACCTAATTAAATTTTATTTCCATCAAAAATATTAATAATCTCTGATTACCTTTAATACTTAAACATCATTCCAGAGCTTAGATCCACCCTGATTAAGGATGCTTTTCTCTCCCCATGTTGGCTCCTCACTAACTGGCTGAAAGGAGCTAAAATGTGGGGCATAGTGAAGGGGGTGGTGATTATAGGAGAGCAACACACCCTGCATCAGGCTTTCTGTGCAAGTTTTGGTGCTCTTCACTTGATTTTGGGTCATTTCCCATTGACTTGGCACAGTTTCTCAAAGTGAAAAACTGCCTTGTCCTAGAATCAGTTGAATGAATCATTTTTCAATTTTGTGCTGATAGCCTGATGTGCTAATTCAGATGAATGAAAGCTGATCCTAAACTTAATTCTTGATTGTGATTGCCTCTCTTCTTCCCACCTGTTGCAGCATAAGAACACTGCTGCAAAATAATGGATAGGGAAAAAGAGTTGAAATTCAAGTCTATTTGGCGTATCTATTTAAAGGTTCAATGGAAATGATTATGAACCTAATGGTTAAAATTAGTAGAAGGGATATACTGGTAGTCTTGTATTAGCCACGTTGTAGAATGACCATGAATTATTTAGAACAGGCTTTATTCATTTTGCACAAATATTTGGGAAGTCAGGATGCCCAGTAACATACCTAAGAATTGTGTTCTTCATATTTAGGTATATGTAATAATTTGACCATAAAAAGGTGGGGAGATGGATTCCGACTTAAGTCACATTAACTAATTTGTGCATAGGATTCTTCAGTGTAAGTGTTTTAAATTGTTCTACTGAGCAGTGAGATTTATGTGCAGCTTTTGTATACAGAAAAGACCCTTCATCAGTGAATACTTGTATCAACAGGAAATTGTGGTCAAGAGGAACCCCTGTTTAACAATTTTGATGGACTCAGTAGAATTTTTGTTTTGTTAAAAGCAGAGCCATCATACCACCTGTGCTGTACTTTAAACATTTTGGGCTTTTTTCCATCTACTTCATACATACGTAGTTTCAGGATTTTTTTCTGTCTTAAAGTGTTACATGCTCTTTGGGAACTGGCAAACAACAGGATGAAAAAAATGTATTCACTTATATTGACACTTCAAGTTATAACCACTGTTTATAACTAGTATTTATAATTGGTACACTTTAGGGGAAATAATCTATAGTATATCAGGATCTATATTATAATAATAAACTGTATTACAGCAGGGTCTTATTTTAACAAAAGTATAGTTTATAATACTTTGTAATATTTATTTTCTCTTATTTATGCAGGTTTTCTTAGTTAAAAAAATCTCAGGCTCTGATGCTAGGCAGCTTTATGCCATGAAGGTATTGAAGAAGGCCACACTGAAAGGTAAGTGCTGCTGCTATTTGTAATGTTCATGTAGTCTAAACAAACTGAAAGGTCTCAGTAGAACTCATGGGACTCCTTGGCATGTTATTTACATTCTGAATAGGTTCCTGTTACCAGCTTTAAATTTAGACTGACTTTTAGTGAATTTTTCCTGCTGGGCTAGGAGTCATATGTCTAGTGAGAATCAGAGTTGCCACGTTACAAAAGAAGTGTTATAAATTCATACTGGATTTTATACAAGTAGACATTTAAAAGATTAAAACTGGGTTTGATTCATCTTCAAATTTATATAATTATTTTAATGTTTTTTAAAACTTACTGATTTACTGGATGCAGAATAGCTTTTATTCTAAAGGTCTTTATTATCTTGATATCTGGTCTCCGAATAAGTTTTTATTCTGAGCCTGTGATTTTGAAAACCCTAATGCAAGATTTGGCTCTCATAGGTAAAAAGTAGTTAAGAAGAAATTGTATATAAATTTAAAAATACTTAACTCTTCCTTTTAATTTAGTGGTATCACTTATTTTAACCTCATAACCTCTAGATGTTTTATGTATTGATTACTAAAAGTCTATTTTTTTCGTCTTCAATTTACATGTGATTTATAAAGCTTTTAAAATATTCTGGAATATTTGCAATGATCATTTATTACTTCTATTTTTCCCAGTTAGTCACCCACCATGGATATCCCAAGAAATTTCACCACTCTCTATAAACACTGTCCTTTGCTTCCATTGTGTTGCTCCCTTCCTGAACATATTTTCTTTCCTATTCAGTCCTACCCCATGGCATTACCACTTACTTGATTCTTGCTAGGACCAGGAAATTAAATTACATCCTCAATGCCCTACCTTTCCATCACTGCGTTTGTGACTTTATACTAATGAATCCCATGTTACAAAGCTACATAGATGAAACTCGGAGAGTTCATACACAAAACCAACAAAAGTAGTTTGATTTTATATATTTAACAGGATTTGTATTGTGTATAATGTACATAAAGAAAACTACAAAACTCTGAGAAACCAAAAAGAAACTAGGAAAGGAAATAAATGCCCAATTCCTGTTAGAGAAGGCTAACTGTTAAGAATCTCACTACTCCTCTAGCCATTCAGTTAGCTTAATGTCATTAAGATTCCAGTTGCATTTTCCTTAAAACTTAACAAAATAATTCAGAATTTTATTTCTGAATCCAGAATATTTTGGAAAAGAATAATAATAAGGGAACAGGCTCTCTCAGATGCTAAAGCTTAAAATAGCAGTAACAGTGTGTTATTGGGGGGAGTAATACAGGCATAGAATCAGTGGAACAAAATATATATATCATATTTTAGTATATTTGTTACAAAAATATTGAGTACCTGCCATGCTGTATGACAAAACAGGCATACAGAACAATGGGAAATTAGGTAATGATTTCATAAATTTTGTTTGAAATACCCCTGAGCTCGGCCGGGCACGGTGGCTCACGCCTGTAATACCAGTATTTTGGGGAGCCGAGGAGGGCGGATCACCTGAGATCAGGAGTTTGAGACTAGCCTGACCAACATGGTGAAACCCTGTCTCTACTAAAAATACAAAAAAAATTAACTTGGCATGGTGGTGATGGGTGCCTGTAATCCCAGCTACTCAGGAGGCTGAGGCAGGAGAAGCGCTTGAACCCAGGAGGCAGAGGTTGCAGTGAGCCAAGATGGAACCACTGCACTCCAGCCTGGGTGACAAGAGTGAAATTCCATCTCAAAAAAAAAAAAAAGAAAGAAAGAAATACCCCTGAGCAACCTGGAAAACAATTTAGTCTTCTCTTAAACCCTGCATCATAACAAACCACACCCTAACTGAATTTTACAACTTAACATATCTAGGAAACTTGTAAGGAAATATTGAGCAAATTACAAAAAAATGGGTAATACAAAAATTGTTAACATTTCATACAATTAAAAATAGTATAAATAGGAAAACAGGGAAATGTTTACCTCAAACATGAATATAAGGAGTTGGCTAAGGGGCTTCTACTGGCCAAATCTGGGACAACTTAAACATTGCAATAATAAATGATAGTGATAGATTACAACCCAGTTGAATAAAATAAGAATCCATAGGTTAATTCATAAATTAATTAATGGGGGAGAAGGGAAAACTCTTTCTTGCAATAGAGTTCCAACTAATAAATATAAAAAGAATGAAGGAGTTGGGAATTGATAAGAAATATCATTATATCCTCCATCTGGAGGATTTTTGAATAAAGTTTACACAAGGAGATAAATAATCTTTGAGGCAATGTTCATTTTTGGTGAAGGTCAAAGATCCATATTAAAATAATAAAGTTTGCTGGGCGCAGTGGCTCACACTTGTAATCCTAGCACTTTGGGAGGACGAGGCAGGAGGACGGCTTAAGGCCAGGAGTTTAAGACCAGCTAAAGCAATATAGCAAGACCCTGTCCCTACAAAAAAAAAAATCAGCTGGGTGTAGTGGTGCAAGCCTGTGATTTTAGCTACTCTGGAGGCTGAGGCAAGAGGATCTCTGGAGCCCAGGAGTTTGAGGTTGCAGTGAGCTGTGATCACACCACTGTACTCCAGCCTGGGTGACAGAGTGAGAACTTTTCTCTAAATGAATGAATGCATGTTATCATTTCGTATGATGGCAGCATAAATTGGAAAATAATTTTGAAATAAGTAAAAAGAGCCATTATTGCTGCTACATTAACCTGAGGAAATAACTTCAAAAAAGGATTCATAGGCTTGAAAATTCTTCTTGCAAGATTATTTACAATAGCAAGAAGTTAGAAGTCACATACATACTGGAAAAATAGAGGAATGTGGCCAGGCATAGTGGCTCATGCCTGTAATTCCAGCACTTTGGGAGGCTAAAGTGGGAGGATTGCCTGAGCCCAAGAGTTCAAGACCAGGCTAGGCAGCACAGTGAGACCTTATCTCTAGAAAAAATACAGTAATTAGCCAGGTGTAATGTGGTGTCCTGTGCCTGTAGTCCCAGCTGATGGCGGG